AGCTATTTAGCTACATTTACCCCCTTCCCCCAACCATGATCATAAATAAGTAACTCAGTAGAATTATCAGAGAAATAACAGACTTCTGTGTTCGCCGAATGGTCACTCTAAGTCAGGGGTAGGGAACCCTTTTACTGCCAAGGGCCATTTGGATATTTATAACATAATTCTTGGGCCATATGAATTTATCAACTTAAAAATTAGGCTACCAAATTTGGTTAAACATTTAGTTAACTCACCCCTAATGCCTTGGCAGGGCCAGACCAAATGATTTCATAGGTCTTATGCAGCCAAGGACCAGACATTCCCCATCCCAGCCTAAGTACTTACTGGACATGTAGTTTCTGAAAAGCAGGAAATCCAACTTGCTAAACCAGCTTATGAATATTTCTATTGGTGCAGAAATTTGTAGAAATAACAGATGTGTCCTTATGAAGATTGTTCTAAAGTCACAATGTGTCTAAATGCTCATTATGGCTGCCATAATTGATGAAGGATATACAAAAGAGTGGGTGCCCAGGTGAGTGAGTATTCTGAAGGAGCCAGAAACTAAGCTGGAGGATGGTTGAAGGACCTAGGGCTCTTTAGTTTGGAGAAGAGAGAGAGAGATAGAGACAGAGAGAGAAAGAGAGAGAGAGATTTAACAGATATACTTTTAAAGGGCAAGCATGTGGAATAAGAGTTATATTTTGGGTTGGTCAAGAGGAGAAAAGTGGCTAAATGAGAAATTATAGGAATGCAGTTCTACTTCACTTAAAACCATAGCTGTTGAGCAACAGGTCATGCTGTAGTGAAAATTGGGGCATCTCCTCGCCTTGGAGGGGTTTAATCCGAAATTGGCTGATTACCCTTCAGAGATGTGGTAAGAGTGATCCCGGCTGTACTTGGGAAACTGATCTAGAGGACCTCAAAGATGTTGTGTCTGAAAACCTTTCGCTCCTAAATGTGTCTTCTTACACATGAACATCTCTAACTAAGAAAGTTCAGGGTAGTGGGAAGTGTATACCTTATAGAGGATTCAGAACTCTATTTGAAAGTTACCAGTTATGTGACTGTGGGCAAGACTTTTAGCATTTCCCAGCTTCACTGTCCTTACTATCTTTGAGGGTTGTTCTGAGGTTTCATTCAATGACACATCACTCAAATCACTCACTTGCCTTTTGATGAATATGTGGATTTCTTTCTTTCATTTTCAATGTTATGGTTCAAAATCAAACATCTGGGACCCATTAAGATTTTGAGAGTGCAGTGTTGAAATGAGCTAATTCTCGAAGGCTTTAACTGTAGGATTTCATTTGTTTTTCAAATAACAAACTTGATTAATATTTGATTAGATGCTTGTGGCACAGCATTTTTTTTTAAGGAGAAAAAACAAGTTTATTGGGTATAGAAATAGAAGGAATCAGAAGCCAGATGGCCAACGTCATCTTTGAAATTTGCAACTGCAAGATCATCACTTGACGAAAGTCTTTCCTCCCAAGAGTTTATATAAAAAAAGAAATCACACCAAAAACAAACCAAAACCAAAACATCACAAACTAGATTATTCAACATCAATAAAGTATTTTACTTTCCTGAGAGGTATTCCAAATTTCAGCAACAAACAAACAAATCCAAGCAACAAAGACTTTATTTTCTTTAAAATAGTAAAAGAAATTGGAATGTGGCAGACTGAGTCAGTATAGGCTTTTCTAGCTGCCCTTCCCACCCAAAGATTATAATAATTTGAAGTAAATAAACACCTCACAAATACTCGAGTCAGTTTTTGTTATTTACAAATAATTTTAAATATATATATGTATATATATATATATATATATATATATATATATATTTTTTTTTTTTTTTTGTTAACAAAGAAATCTACTGTAATGGCAGACCAACCCAAATTCTTGAACTAGCCACTAAGATGACGTATATTGAATTAGTTAATAGTCTTAAAGTAGATTTAGTCTTAATGATTATCAATTCCTTGTTATCTATTAGCATCATACTCTTAAGCACTCTCACTACAGACTGTCCTTAAGTAACAAATGGAAGCTGAGCTATGCAATCCTTTCACATTTCCTTTTATATAAATATATGTGTGTGTGTGTGTGTGTGTGTGTGTATATATATATATATATATATATTTGATTTCAGAGAGGAAGGGAGAGGGAGAGAGATAGAAACATCAATGATGTGAGATAATCATTGATTGGCTGCCTCCTGCCAATCAATGGAGGCAGGAGGATGGAGCCCTCAACTGGCATGTACTCTGACCAGGAATTGAATGGTGACTTCTTGTTTCATGGGTCAATGATCAACCACTGAGCCATGCCAGCTAGGCTACACTTCCTTTTCTTACTTGACTCAGTGGACAGCAAACTCATTAATCAACAGAGACAAAGATCAACAGTACGACGATTGAAATTTCTTTTGAGAGCCAAATTTTTTAAACTTAAACTTCTTCTAATGCCACTTCTTTAAAATAGACTCGCCCAGGCTGTGGTATTTTGTGGAAGAGTTGATGTTAAATAATTTTGATGTTGAATAATCTAGTTTGTGATGTTTTTGTTTTTGGTTTGATTTTTTAAAAAATAAACTCTTGGGAGGAAAGACTTTAGTCAAGGGGCTAAAGAGCCACATGTGGCTCGCGAGCCGCAGTTTGCCAACCACTACAGTGACTGAATTAGGCAGTCCAAGGCCCACAGCAGCCTCTGAGTAACTGCTGAGTTGCATCCCCTCAATGCTATCTATTTTTCCTATGGTAAGTTCCAAGTTAAATACTATCAGTATTCTGGGGATCATTTTCATACATGGTTCTATACATATATACATAATTTAACAAAAATGAGATATTTATGTACAGTTTTTATTGTGACCAAGTTCAACTGCATCATGGCTAAATAGCCACATGGCCGCTGAAAACCGTATATTCCCTTCCCCTTCTCCCACCGTTCCCTAGCTTGTCATGCATTCTTTCCCAAAATTGGGACTTTTTTAATACGCTGCGGGATGCAGGACAAATTGTTAAAAATTGTGACTGTCCTGCCAAAAGCGGGACGTCTGGTCACCTTAGACGAGATACTAGTCAGAAAAAGACCGTAAGACTTCTACTACAGAAAACCCCAGCAAGCTGTCCTTATCCCATGACAAGAAAGAAAGAGGACTTCCTCGTATTTCAGAGGAGCATTGAAAGAGTATGGGTGGTAGGGTAGGTATTCTACCACAGAGAACCAGGTAAGGGAGGAGAGGTGTGAGGGATCCATGCTGCCGCATGAGCAGCTGAGAGGGAGAACTTGCCCTTGGTCACTAACATAGCGGTAGATAACCTTCACTAATCCCCCAGAACCTAAGAGGAAAAAGAGACCAGCTCCCCAGAGTCCCCTATAGCATCTTCTTGCATCCTCCTTGAAGGGAACCCTGGAGCTGTGAAAATGTGCATCTAACTTACTGTACTGACTCCCAAACTCGTGCAGAAAATGGAGAGTAAGTCAGCTTTGGGCATTGCACTTAACCTTTGCGTTCCCATGTTTAAGCCATTAAAACTGAAAAATAACATTGTGCTGAACACACAGTAGGTGCTGAGGACACACTTGTCAACTGTTGTGAAGACCAAGAGGAAAGAAATGGAAATGAACACGTGTTTGGGAGATTGCCATTCGCTATTACTGTACAAGATGGTTTCCATACATCACTCTTGGCCTCATCAGCACGCAGTCAGGTAGGTATCACAGGTTCCATTCAGTGTATGAGGCTCAGAAGAGTTAACCAGAGTCACACATGGAGATGGACTTCAGGGTTATCTGAAAGCCTCTGCGCCTTATGCAATGTACCCAACGGTCTCTCCGCCAAAGCTGTGGGAACCTTGCTTTGCAGACAGTTAACACTAGACATTTTGAGCAGAATCTGACTTAACATCAGGCTTTTCCAGAGACAAATCTTCGGGGTGTGGTTCAAACAGGACATGCTAACGCCCGCTAAGCTAGTGGTGAGGCCGGGGCTTGGGACCCAGTGCCTTGTGAGGCCAGGCGGGCTCCACGCGCCCTCCACGCGCCCCCGGGGCGCAGGGTGGCCGGGAACCGCGCCCCGGCTGTTCCGGACGGAACCAGGCGCCGGTGGTCCGCGGGTGCGGCGGGCGGGGCGTCCAAGGAGCCGCGCGTGACGCACTTCCGGCCTGCGGCTTCCGGCTTCAAGGGCCCGAACCTGGCTCCCAACAACAACAAAACGGGTTCGCGGGCGGCGGCGCCTCGGCTCCAGTCCCCGCCCTCCTGCCACCTGCCGCCGCCCGGCCTCGCCTGGCCCTCGCCGGCCGCCCAGCTCGCTCCCCGCTGCCCGCTCCCGCCCTGTCCCGCGGAGCCGCGGACCCCGGCCGCGCCCTTCGGCCAACTCCTCCCGCCGCGCCCGCGCCGCCTCGCGAGACCCGCTGGCCGCGGCCGCGCAGAGCAGCAGGAAGGGAGCGGCCGCGGCGGAGGGAGGACGCCCGGCCCGACTGTGCGGCCGCTGGCCCTGCTGGGCGCGGAGGGCGGCGGTGGCGGGCCCCGCGGCCGTCTCTCAGGTACCTCTGTCCGGCCGGCCGCCCTGAGCCCGGCCTCGCTCCGGCCCGCGAGGCGGGGCCGTCGCGTAGGGGCCTTGTTGCGTTTCAGCGCCGGGGTCACGGCGGGGACGGGGTGGCGGCTCGGACCGTGGCGCCCCCCACCCCTCCCTTCCTCCCTCCTCACAGCTTTCTTCCTCTCTCCCCCCGCCCCCTCCGCAGTCCCGAGTCCGGCGGAGCCTAACGGAGCCCGGACCTGGCGGGGAACGCTGCACCCGCGGCCGGGCCCCCAGACCCCGCCGCCGCCGGCGCCACCGCCCATCCTCCTCGGTCCCGGCAATGGCCTTTGCATCGCCCGGGGCACTTGTGACTGACTTGGACAAGGAATATTAAGACCCACTCGCTTCCGTCCCGATCCCGGCCGCACCGGCTCCTCTGGGCTCTTACCTGCTGCTCCTCCGGACTCTTCGGCGCTGGGGGCACCATGGAGCAGAGTGGGATGGAGATTCCCGTGACCCTCATCATTAAGGCGCCGAATCAGAAATACAGTGACCAGACCATTAGCTGCTTCTTGAACTGGACCGTGGGGAAGCTAAAATCGCATCTCTCTAACGTGTACCCTAGCAAACCAGTAAGTGTCTGACAGCTGGGCGCAGCGCCCGGGGTTCACCTTCTCCCTGCCCCCCCCTCCCCCATCAGGCTGGTACACTGGGAAGTGTCTTGCGTTCCGAAGTTGTGTGAGGCTCTTGAGTGCTCGAGCCCTCATTCATCTCTTCCTTAGGAGGTTCAGTTAATTAACAAGAGTTGACAGAAATATCAAGGGACATACGGATTGCAGGCAGGCATAAAAAAAATACCATTTTCCTTGGACTAAAAGTCATCAACTTAATATGGGATGACAGATGCATTCTTAAAAAAAAAAAAGATAAAGAAGCACAACAATTTCATATTAAAGCTGCTATTGCTTATTAGACTAAGATTCCTCTTTACTTTCCAACATTGGCCCAGAAAGTTGCTCACCATTGTTGAAGAGCAAATGTTTTTTTTTATCTTGGAAATAAGTATGTACCCCTGTAAAAATTACATGCTCAAGATTACCATATGTCTTCTAAGAAGCAAAAAAGTGTGAGTTTTAGACTCATATTCCTCTGTCCCTCCCTCCCTCATTTTTCTCCTGTACCGGGACACAAACATTTCGCTAATTTAGAAGAGAACAATCCTTCCACCATCTCCACCATTTGGTGCATCTTTTTATTCCTTTCATATGGCCACTTGTAAATCATTGTGGCAGTGTTTTCCATTCTGAATCATATCTGGATATTGCAAAGATAATAAATAGGGACTACAGCTCCATCTGTTCCCAAAGGTAGGTTTGAAAGGATATGGTTGGTAATTAAGAAGTCTTGATAAGAAGGCATGTGATCTATATTCAGAAGTTGATGAATTAGGACTGTTTTGTGTTACAGTATTAAGTTTAGTTAATTTAGATTTCTGAAATAATTACAGAAAGCCTGAGGTTATTGCAAGAATGGGAGGTTTAGAAAAACAATTCTCAGTTGGCATTAGCTGTGCTTGTCAGCACCTTGTGATACAAATATTTTTAGGACAGGAAATAAAAACCCAGAGGTAGTTAAGGACTTGGAACAAACTAGCTGGGACTCTCATTTATTTAAATATTTTTGTATGAAAGTTAAAATTTACACAAGGGATAACAATTTGTTTTAAAAACTTTAGCTTTACAAAAGATTTTCTATTGTATGTGATTGGTTTTTGCACAATTTTGAAGTGGAAAATAGCTTTTCAGAAGTCAGTTTAAAGTCATAGACTTCCATAGTACTGCTCATAGCATAGTCTGAATACCGTTCCTAAGTAATACATGTCCCAGTACATACTCTCAAGTATGTACTTAAGTGAAGTTCTTTATGTTATATGATTAAACTAAAGTCAAAAGGAACTTGGTTTGCAGTCTGATAGACCAAGAGTTCTTAATTTCCTAAAACTTTCTCTTTTGTAAAAACTCTCAGTGAGGAATGTGAAACATTCTGCCTTATCTGCACCCCTCCCAGCACTCACCTGTGCGGGCTGTCAGCGCCCACCTGGGTGGGTCAGCTGCTGGAGACAGCAGTTACAAACTTCTCACCCGCCCTCCTTATCTACCTGCTGTCTGGACGCCCTGGAGACTTGCTGGCTGTGCATATAATATGCAACCTAGTAATTGCCTGACTACCTAATTTTGTGGCAAACCCGACATTTTTCCTCCTCCAGCAAGCTTTCGCCAACTGAATTGCATTGTCTGAAGGTTATTTCTAGGTTAATGAGAGTGGGTGGGCCTTGGGGCAGGTGGCATGTGTTTATTTTCATAGAACTTCACTGAAAACTTTGTGTGGTGATTGGATTTGACAAGCTGACAGTTTAACTTAGTTGTCACATGAGAATTTGAAGTTTCACCGTTGTTCAACAGACCAGCTGTTCAATAACACCCCAAAGCCAGAGGTAGTTCTTAGTCTAGGACAGTGGTTCTTAACCTTTCTAATGCCACGACCCTTTAATACAGTTCCTCATGTTGTGGTGACCCCAACCATGAAATTATTTTCATTGCTACTTCATAACTGTAATTTTGCTACTGTTATGAATCGTAATGTAATTACGGTTATGAAATAGCAATGAAATTAATTTTACAGTTGGGGGTCACCACAACATGAGGAACTGCATTAAAGGGTCGAGGCATTAGAAAGGTTGAGAACTACTGGTCTAGGAAGTGGACTCCCAAAAGTTTTCTTTATCAGGCTCTGTAAGTTAGAACAGAGACACTTTGCAACATAAGCAATGTTATAGGACAACTTAATGCATTACACAGGAAGTTTAGTTTCTTAGGACCACCCACAGTGTCTACTTAACATTGATTCTATGTTGGTGTTTAACAGCGGTCATTTTTATGCCTCATTCTGTGCATGTCTGCCTGCGGGGGTGGGTGGACTTGGAAGCAGAGTGGGGTTCCAGTGCCCTGTAGAAACACTTGTACCCCAGTAAGAGGTAGAAAAGTTGGCGGCTCTGGTCAGCACTGCTCTTGCTGGGTGCGATGGTTTATGTGGGTCCCTGTGGGCATGGCCTATAGGAAAATAAATGGAAGCCGATGGAGGGATAAGAATGGATATCTGAAGTTGTTCCCCTTAGGGTATCTACAGAGTTAGGTCATGTGTCTACATTGCTATTAATGGGATTCAGCAACAGTGTGTAAAATCTTAAAATTCTAGTTTTAATAACAGATATTGACTTATCTTAATCATAGATAGTCTAAACCCACAATAGAAAAACTACCCCACCCAAGCACACTTTCTTGGGCTTCATTTATTTACTTTCTCTTGGATTTTATTGATATGGCATTTAAATGTCTGTATGCCAGGCATGAAGGGGATGGTAAGAGTCCCTTACTCTTATGAAGCTGAGGTCTAGTGGGGGATACAGAGATGAAAGAAAATAGCTAATATGCTAATATTATGGAAATGGTGTTACAGAGAGGAATGTGCTGAGCTTGGCAGAAGCATAGGGAAGGAACAGGCGATGCGGGTCCAGGAGCAGGGAATGTGTAGCTGTTTTAAGAAGAGGTTCATTCACAGGGACATTTTTCTTAGGGTTGGTAACAATTTTAAGCATACCAGACGAGAACTTTATAAAAGCCTCTTCTGAGAGCTCCTGTTGCACTGTTTCTAAGTACTTTATGCACTTTATTTCTTGGTGTGATAGTACTATGTAAAAAAGATTGTGGGTCCATAATGGGCTTACACACGGGAAGGTGTTTTCCTGGTAGGAAGTAAGGCAGTTGCCATATTTTTGCAAAAGTTTACAACATCATTATTTTTAAAACTCAGATGTGGAATTGAGATCTATGGAGTTTTGCTTAACTTTGAATGGTATTGATTATTGGTTTAGAACTGGAAAGTGTACCAATTCATGTTAATGGTATATGTAGATAATATTCTAATCAGACGTTTGTCATCGCTTCAGGACTTCAGATTTTGAGATCCTGAAATGTTGGTATTTGCTACTAAGGGGTGAAGCTGCCTGTGAAGAAGGTCCCTTTTACTTGTTTCAGACTTTTATGTGGCTTACACTTACTTACTTAGAGCTGTAAATATCAAAATGGTTGAACTTCATGTTATCCAATAGAACACACTATCCTGGAGAAAACTTGAAAAATAAGAATCTCTAAATCCTTTAGGCCCCTTTCTCTCGTTTTTTTACTCTTCTCATACATACGTAATTACTGAGATAACCTGACTCACAGTGAATTCAGTTTTGAATGCAAACCTTCCTGGATCTTGTGTACCTGGCTTTCCCGTGGTCAGTGTTGAGGTCAAATGCCTGTGGAACATGTCCCTCAGTCCAGGGTAGGTTTCCTGCATCTTGGTGCTTCTGTTGTTCAAGAAGTCAGTTTCTTTACTCAGGCCTTCCAGCTCAGCCAGGGAGATTTGTGCTGGTTTTCAAATTGTTCCTCCACTCTGAGATTCTGTTAGAAATAAAGAAAACAGAAATAGAACTAGCTGTGTAAGTTCTATTTCAGAACCAAATTGCCTATAATTGAGATGGACATCTGACTTTCATTATCAGTGAAAATAGCTTGTGTAATATAATTTGAGGTTATGTCTCTTAATTTTGTAATTCCCCATTATCTTATTTAGGCAGGTCGTTTAAAAAATATTATCTGCTTAACCACCTCTGAACTGATTCAAAGGTACTGTAATCCATACATATTAAAAAGCATTTATAAGACAATTATAAAATTTTGGTACATACATTTAAGAGGGTTTCATATCACATAATGTTCAAATTTTTAAAACTTTATTAAATTGAGTGTGAAGGCTGATGAAAAGTTGAAAGTTTTGAATGAATGTGGTTATATTTGTTTTATGTAATTCCTTACATAAATGCATACTAATTTTTAAAAGGTTTTATTAAAAAAATATATTTTTTATTGATTTTTAGAGAGAAGAAGGGAGGGGAAAGCAGAGCAGTGATTGGCTGCCTCCTGCAAGCCCCTACTGGGGATCAAGTCCAAAACTTGCCTGGATTTGAACTGCAGCGGTTTGGTGCAGGGGACAATGCCCAACCAACCGAGCCACGCTGGCCAGGGCAATAAACATTCATCTGATGATCTCAGATGCTTTTATTTAACTATTAGAGTTAAATAATAGTTAACGATTTAACTATGCTAACTGCCATTTAGTAAGTAGTTACCATGTGTACCAGACATTCTACTGAGCACTTTATCTGTTTTATCACATTTATTCCTTTTATCTCATTTATTCCTTTAGAGATACTTTATGATGTTAAGTTTTTATTATTCTCTGTCTCTGTCTGTCTCTGTCTCTGTCTCTCTTTTGCCCAACTTCATAAAATTCTATGTAGTAGAATGTGAATTTTAGGGACTTGGCCATCTCAGTTGTATGCTTGCAAATTAAAAGAACTATAAAAAGAGGTCTATGTGTTTAGCTGGTCTGTTATTTTATGGCTACAGATGAATGGGTTGCATAACCTTAATACTGTTCTAATGCATCTCAACTTAGTGTATGGTTACTTCTACTGATTTTGATAAATGATGGGAAAGATAGGGTATATACTCTCTTAAGACCTCAAAGCCCTATCTTCTCACAATCCTGCTTGTTCATGTGAACCACAGCAGGCATGTACTCTGGCAGTCCCTGTGGTATCTATACCTGGTTTGTGCATGGCCTGTGAGTGGAAACAGCTACGCAGGGAATGTCCCTGTGGAGTTCTAGAGGAAATTCTTCTGTAAGCTCTGTGTGCTGGTGTTGCTTACAGTTGTTGCAAGGAGATAAGGTTTGGAGACAGTTTGGGTAAACTGTGCTTCCATTTATAGTGTTTGTGAATTTCCTGGGGCTTTAGGTGGGCTGATCTAGTGGGAGTGGGAGATATGTTCCAGTACAGATTCCCAAAACTCACTTCCCACGGAAATGATGTTTGTGCATGTCTTGGGAACCAGCTCTTCAAAGCTGTTTGGCACTTGTGACAGCTGTATGCAAGTACTGAAATGTTAACAGTTATTACTTTCAGAGGACTCGGTCATTGTTCTTTGAACTAACATATAAGTTGTAGATTGCTTTAACTGAGCTATTTGATTATTTTGAAGTTGGATATACTAAGGACATGCTTTTTTAAAGCCATGCATAGTTATAAGAGACTCATTTAGTTCTTCACATGAAAAATTTAAACTTTTAATACCAACTAGGTGACTTCTAGAAATATAAAGTATTGCTGGCTTTGTAAAACTCAACTACCAGAATCTAGTGAATATTTAATATGCGTTAGGGATGCATATACCGTAGTATTTTATCTGTTTTAGGTATCTGAATAAATGTTGAAAAGTCAGACACTTTAGATAATAATATGTAACTTTTAGAAAGAGAAAAATCTTTCCCCAAAGGATTAATTTTGCATTTTTTACTGCCTTTCCTCACCTTGTTTTTTTAGAGTGTCTGTTAAGTGGGTGGCAGAGTTTTGGGTCAGCTGGTTAAGCAGCTGTGCATTCGGAGTGTTGTAGTTCTCTCTCTGCCTATTCGGGCCACCATCAACTTGGTCATTTAGATGGCCATGCAAGAGGTGGGCAAGAATATGCACTAGGGTGTCTGAGTCAGGAAGGGGCTTAGCATATTGGAGAGCTAAGTGAACGCCAGTTTGGCTAGTGAGTGAGGCGGTAAGAATACCATCAGAGGAGATTGGGGAGAGGCAGAAAACAGACCTGCTGGGACTGTCTGGCGGTGGTAAGGTATTAGCTTTAAATCCAATGTGGTGGGAATCCAGCCGAGGGACAGGGTTGGTTTGCACTTTTAAAAGATGTTCCTAACTGTACTCCTCTCCTTTTCTCTCTTATTCATCCCAATTAAGTTTGTCCATCAAGTTGCTTTTATGAAGACCACTAGTGATCTCCATGTTTCAGGATACTCTGAGGGAGCACAGAAATAAATAGAATAGTATGAAAGAAGGACACTGTGAGTAATAACAAAAGCCTGGAACTACTCAAATATCCGTTAGTAAATGGTAGCATCCTAATATATAAAGAGCCAGGGTCCATAACGTCCAAAACGACCGAACAGACGACCGAAAGCCAGGCTGCGTGCAGCAGGCTCGGTATTGGGGACTGGCGAGCTGGCTGAACTGCTAACCTCTCAGTCCCTTCTGGGTCGCAGGCGCTGCAGTGACCCAGCACTGACTGCCGCCACCAAGGCAGGTGCGATGCAGTTGGTTGGTGAGTCCCACCATTGTCCCATGATTGCCCTGCAGAAGGAGGCCCAGGCCACTGGCTAAGGGCTCCATGATTGCCCCATAGAGGGAGGCCCAGGCTACCCGCTGGCAGTGGTGGGTGTGGCCTCCCTCTGCAGGGTGATCAATCGTGAGGCTCCTGAACTGCGAGAGAGTGCAGGCCGAGCTGAGGGACCACCCCCCTGTCCCTCCCCCCCACCTGAGTGCATGAATTTCATGCACTGGGCCTCCAATGTCTATATAATGGAGCATTATGGACTGCCAAGAAGAATGGGGAAGACATCCTAATTTCCAGGTTATATTAAGTGGGAGGACAAGGCACAAAATATTAAGTAGAGTGTACTAGCTTTTATGTGAGAAAAGGGAAATACTTGCTTATATTCAGAATTGTTTTGTTAAAAAAGAAATAGTGAAAGGGAAATTCAAAATTGATGTTTCTATCTCTCTCCTTTTCCCTTCCTCTCTCTGAAGTAAATAAAAGCATACTTTAAAAAATTAGGGAGGGGACAGGGACAGAAACTAAACCTCTCTGAATATATCTCATTCTATAATTTTTACTTTGTTGCCATATAACTTAAAAAATTAAATAGAAAAAATGGCAACACAATAATTTAATGATTCAATGTGAGGATGGTGACATAACTGCAAGAGGAATTATACCAAGTAATTTTGAAACAGTATTTCATCTATGTATTTCTAGTGGGATACATGTAAGGACAGAAGAAAGCCATAAGACATGGTAAACTTCATCTGAAACTGTTATTCTTATTTTGAGGTTGTATACAGTAGGATAAAGCATATAAGTAAGTTTGCTAATGGCATATTTTGTTTGTTAATGTCATTAGGAAATTTGGTAATTGTATTTTATTATGTCTATAATAAATATGTTACCATTTGCTGAGCTCTTAATGTCTTAAGTGGAATTTGGAAAAAACAGAATTCTTAAAATATGTCAGTATTCTGCTTATTTGTGCCTAAAGGGAGTTTACTTTACTCATATTTAGGCATCTTATTCCCAACCTTTATTTTGTATAATTAGAAAAAGTTGAATTATTTTCTTTGTCCCATTTCTTAGTTGACGAAGGATCAGAGATTGGTGTATTCGGGCAGACTGCTTCCCGATCATCTGCAGCTGAAAGACATTCTCAGAAAAGTAAGCAGATCTCTACCACTACTCGGTACCAGACACAGAGTGTGAGAGGAGATTTGTTCTGAAATTTTATCAATATCCACCCAGTTCAGTTTTCAGATACATAAAATCAACCCTTTGGTAGCATAACATGTAAACATGAGCTAGAAAGTAAAAAACAATGATAGATTCCAGTTAGTTTGGGTAACAGTTTTGTATATCTATCTGATAGCTAACTAGGATTACATACTGTGTTCAGGTGATTGGCATTTTGTGCAGGAAAACTCTTTATCAACTTACCAGTAGTGCAGAAGTGGAGAGTTCAAGGAGTGGTGCAGGATTTTCACTGAGGACAGTCTCCTCGCCTATATCCCCTTTGACCAAATTGTATGACATTTTAATACAAGTTGCTTGGGTTAGGAGTTTAATTTCAGGGCAAGAAATAGAAGGAAGCCCAATTGGTCCACCACTTAGCAACCTTGAAGACTGGTGCTTTGAGCTAAAATATATTTCAGTGTAGCTTTTTGATAATCAGCTGGAATACTGGAATACTGGAATACTGGAATGTTTTCGTGTTTTTTTTTTTTTTTTTTTAATGGCAACTTTTAACTCATTGTTTATTTGTGGAATTTATACTTTTATAACCTCTCTGCATTTGTGATGCTACACTTTGTGAATATATAGCTTTGATATTTTGCCTTAGGTCTTTGACTTAACTCTTAATGTTGTTCGAGACCAATTTAAGAAATCTGCATCCTCTCTTTTTGTTTATGATCATCAGAGAAACTAAGAAATCTTATATCAGTATAATCCTCCTGTTCAAAAGTTGACATTCTCACTCTGCCAGTGTGACTTCTTGCTGTCATTTTCATTTTAACTAGTAGTTTCAGTTTGCCAAGGTGGTTTAATAACTTCTTACTCTCTCAAAACTAGTGGAATTTGCAGCAGTTTTTCTTTCTCTTTTTAATAGACTATTTTTTTAGACAGTTTTAGGTTCATAGCGAAATTGAGCAGAAAGTACAGAGATTTCACTTTTACTCCTTGTCCCCCCCACATGTACAGGCTCCCCCACTAACACCATTCCATATTAGAGTGGAACATTGGTTACAGTTGATGAACCTACATTATTGACACATCATTATTACCCAAAGCCCATGTTTTACATTAGGGTTCTCTCTTGGTGACATTCTGTGGGTTTGGACAAATGTAGAAGGACATGTATTCACCATTATAGTACTGTACAGAATAGTTTCACTGCCTCAGAATCCTCTGTGCCTCACCTGTTCATTTTCTCTGTTTTTATGCTTAAAAACATTGATGCTGTTTACTCTTTAGAGATTTATTTTATTATTTTAACCCAAAGATAGCTAGTTCGCACTGGAATGTTTTTTAAAAAAAGTTCTTGCTGCCAGAAATGGTTTCTAACCAGAACACTTAAAAATGTTTCAGTGGAAGGATGGACGGCCCCTTATATAAAACACTTTGAATAATATGTTTACATTATGAATAGATCTTTGAACTGTTTTTGTTAGTCAGTGAACCACTTCTTTTTTCAATTAAATGCTGCCATTAGCTTTACCTATTTAGTTATAGGAACATTCCCAAAAGGTGAACAAATGCTATAATTAATTCAGTTAGTATAACTTTTGAAACTAGATCTCCAAGGGTAAACATCTTATATTTCATTGCTTTTTAATATTCTATGTTCTGAAGCTAAGGGGATATTGTAAGTGAGGAGTGCCTTCTATCTACTTTATTAGGCACATCTCATGTCAGACTATCGCTGGAAGTTCTTCTTAACATTCCACTAGTAATACCCATTAACTTCTTTCTTAAACTCCTAGAGCTTGTAGTTTGTGCTTCTCAGTTCTGTGCAAAAGACTGTTTTATGTAGTTCTCTAATTGTGCTCTAATGCGCCAGTCTGATCTTTTAACAGTGTCATGAGCCTCTTCAGGGGAGGGGCTAACTCTTACCTTTCTGGTATTCACCTCAGAATTAAGCACAATTCTAGACTTATGGTAGGCATTGGGTAAATTCTTAGTTTCCAGTAACTTTGTTTCTCTTTCTCACAACTGGGCATCTTCCTTGTCTTCCTGCCCTTTTCTTTATCATATTTCATTTTTTCCCCCTTCTTATAAATTGCGGAGCTCTCCTGTGTTCTTCTCTGGCCTTTATTCTCTTTCCTTTCTCCATCTTATTTACTTGCTTCATGCCTAAGTATATATACTCATGTAATTGCTAAGCTAGTCATTTTTAGAAATTTTTTTCTTCATAATTATAGGTTTATGGAAACACATTGTAGAATATAGTTCAAACGTATGCTTTTACTTAAATATAAGTATTGTAGATAAAACCAGTTTTTGACTGAAAAAACAACAACAAACAAAACACACAAAAAACAAACTATACATCCCCTTGCTAAAATTAAGGCAAATGAGATTATAGTGAAATTATTTGAGTTTCTTTATTATAGCTGCAAAATTTAAGTAATGGAAATATTTTTACTTCTCAAAGTTTACAGGGCTAAGCTTCAGCAACTATTGCCATTCCGATATTAAGGTGCTGGATGTTTTCATATTGAAATAATAGCTTGCATGACAGAGCTTTACAGCACTGTTTGCTTCAATACTCCTTTGTATAGAAAGTAATCATTTTTTCATATAGCAATTACTGAGTGTTTAGACAATTTTCAAGGCATGGAGAAAATGTAGAATTCAAAAGGGCTCCAAATTCTAAAATGGTGAATTTACCTTCAAATGACAACACTTTCTTACTAATAAATGGCTATGCCAGAAAGGAACTTAAGTTTTGAGTCAAGTATTTCAGCTTAGCTGCTATTGATATTTGACTGTGCATTTCCAGTGCGACCCTTTCAGTGTGACCTTCTTTACTTTTAGCAAGACGAGTATCACATGGTCCACCTGGTGTGTACTTCCCGATCTCCTCCCAGCTCTCCACACTCCAGCAGCCGTCCAGAAGGTTGTGAAGCGTTGGCATCTAGTAGCAGTTCTGTGAGTCATTTGAGAGGAGTAAAGGATAATTTCTCATATTTCTTTTGCTTCTAAAAATTAAGTGAAAAAAAAAACAAAAAAACAGATCAGTTGGAGCTTGTGGGTTGTGAGATGGTGTTTTGAGTTAGGGATTTAAACTTCGTTTTTAGAAGTACATTATACAGTGTTATCTCTTGAAGACTGTTCCCCTGTATGCAGATCAGTAATCTAATAGTCAGGAGTTTAACTTCTAAAATGCTAAGAAAACAGAATTATGATCTGTTACATAATATAAGCTCTAAGGCCAGGAAAATTTCAGAAATAAGGTGTTGAATATAGTCTATTTTATTCAAAGTGGATTAAATTATTTCAGTTTTAAATATGTTAAGTCCTCTTGAAGTAGATTGTTTGTTCAAGAATTTTATTTTTAAATATTTTTATAGGAATGGGAAGAGAGGGGGGGTAGAGAGAGAGAGAAATCTATGTGAGAACAAAACATTTGAAGGCAGCTATGCTCACCACTATACCACCAACGAAGCTTGAGAACAAAACATTGATCAGTTGCCTCCTGCACACCCCCTACTGGGGGTTGAGCAACCTGGGCATGTGTCCTGACCGGGAATTGAACCAGCAACCTTTTGGTTCACAGGATGATGCTCCAACTGAGCCACACCGTCTGAGGCAAGAATTTTACTTAAAAAAAAAAAAAAAAAAAAAGACTAGATTTGGGCATACATTCCAATTGCAGGAGGAAAAATTACTTAACCTACTCAGCTCCGTCAAACTTGGGTATTCATTTCTCCTATCTTAGTTTTTCACTTACCTAAAATTGTTCGGGAAATTTTTCTTAAACGTTTTAACTTAGGTGTTCTCTACAAGTACTAAAGACACTGTCCCAAATCCTTTTACCTTATTTTTGGTTTCCCATAAAAGCTTTGAAGGTGAGTGAAAAGGATTGGATGAGCGGAAACTTGCTTTAAACTTCCTGGGCAGAGACTTTTATACTGCTAAGTATACTTTCCTTCTTGTCAAGAACTGAGCTGAAACTGTAAGGAAGGGGATGAGTGGCAGAGGTGATAATAGATGAAAGATCTTCAGTAGCTGCTAGTTAAATGGTCCTTAAGATCTAGATCCTCCCGTTGCTGTATTTAATTACATGTCATCAACGGCAAGTATCCTCTAGTACCAGCTGTGGGAATTTAGCTTATATTAAGCTGAGATATGTTTTGCCAATAAACCCAAGGGCCTGGGTCTGTTTCCCACCTTGCACCGGAAGGACAGTCATCGGCAGTGGTGTGAAGTTCTGTGTTGTAGTTTTTGGGCACAGTTGCGTTGGTTTAGTTTTTGTTTAGTTTAGTTTTAGAATCCTCTGGCTTGTCCAGTGGTTCCGCAGCCATGATTTCCTGGCGTTAGTATATATATGTTCAGTTTTCAAGGTGTAGTATGAAAATCTGAAATGTGTCAAAGGAAAATTAAGTTGAATTTCTCTTAATGCTTTAAGACTAAGAAATTTCAGTAGTATTTGAAATTGTCTTAAAAATCTTAATCATGAGAGAGTTATCTAAGGAGATCAGAAATCCTGAGTTCTAAAGAAATAAGGCTGGTCTGCCAAATGGCTAGGCCTTTCTCCTGTTAACTTTCAGTTAGCCACCTTTTTATGGTTCACTTTATGAGAAATATTGTCAAAAAAAGAAGCTTTTCTGAGTGATATCCCTAAGAATCAGAGTCCCTAGTGAGATATTTGGTATCTCTTTTGTGTGGAATAACATCTTAACGAAAAGCTTGTGTTAGTTTTGCAAAAGACCAGTGTTCTTGGGACCTTTTACATGGCAGGATATAGGATGGGAACATATGCTAAACAGACATCGTGTCATTAGGAAGGCAGTGCAGCTAAAACACAGTGTTAGCAAACCTGGATGTTCAAATTATATTGTACCCAGGTATTTTATTTATTTATTTTTTAAAAATATATTTTATTGATTTTTTTTTTTTTTTTTTTTTTTTTTTTTTTTTTTTTTTTTACAGAGAGGAAGGGAGAGAGATAGAGAGCCAGAAATGTCTATGAGAGAGAAACATCGACCAGCTGCCTCTTGCACACCCCCTACTGGGGATGTGCCTACAACCAATTGTACCCAGGTATTTTAAATGGAAGAGCTGTAATTTATATAAAATATAATTGTGTTTCACATTTACTTAGAACATGATAAATTATTTTCAAATATTAACAAATTGGGTGGTCTTCAAGGCATTACATTGTTTAAGGCTGTTGAGTCTGGTGAATTACTGACATCATTGGAGCATGAGAATTTTAAAACCCCGATTGATACCTTGTTCGTATGTTTAAAAACAATATTTTTGGTATCTTTAAACTGACAGAAGTTGAGAACTGAAAGGAATCTTGAAAATCTAGTTCAATCTTTTTTTTTGTAGGGAAGCTGGGACTCAGAGGCTAAGTGAAATGTTTAAGGTCATGTTCCTTGCTAATATCAGAGATAACACCAGATTCTAGATCTTCTGATTTCTAGCATGTTCCTCATAATTTTAAAACAGTGTTACTAACAGCACATTATACAGTACCTGGCACATAGAAAATGGCACAGGAATTGGTACCATTATTGAGCACTTCCTATGTTTTAGGCATCATGAAAAGAACTTTTCATATAATTTAATCCTCACAATTTTGTATGCTCTTTTTGTATACAATAACTTCACTACTTAGCCTTTTCTAGTTGTTAAGTGAACTGTTGTGTAATTAAGAAATTTTGATTTTTCTGGACTCTTTAGTCTCATCAGAATTAAAGTATCTTCTTATGCTGGGCACAAGATTCAAATGAGTAAATTCCTAAAATTCACTGTTTGCAGAGGGATTTCATCAATACATTTTTAGCCCTGTGTCTATAACCTCGTGATTGTAATAAATTAAATCTTCCTGAAAAAATACTTACATTTCTGTTTATAGAGTTCAGATCAGTCAGGATCAACAACTCCATCACCCAGTCAAGAAACCTTGCCGTTAGCTGTCAGTTCTTCCTCAGAAGGACTGAGGCAGCGTTCCCTCCCTCAAGCACAGACGGACCCCGCACAGAGTCATCAGTTCCCATACGTAATGCAAGGGTGAGTGTGTTTCGGGTAGCCGTGGGCCTCTTCGAAATCTGTTTCTCCTGACTTTCATGGTAGCCCTCTGCAGTAATCAGAGTGCATTTGAAGTTTATTCCATTACCTAAGTGCATATTTTGAGATTAGAGGGTGAAGTAGAGCAGTGCTGATGAAAGCTGCTCATGTATCAGAATCATCTAGGGCTGTATTTTGTAGTTTTTAAGGTTTGTGCTAATCACCTGGGGATTTTGTGTAGATGCAGGTTCTGATTCACTAGGATGACTTGTAGTTCAGAAATGAAAATTTAGAGAAATGCTTTCAATTCCATAGCATTCAAAGACATTTCTTTATCTCTTTATGGCAGAAACGTAGACCACCAGCTTCCCGGACAAGCTGCTCCAGCCGGATTCCCAGTGTACCCCGCTTTCAACCCGCTGCAGGTGCTGTGGTGGCAGCAGATGTATGCTCATCAGTATTATATGCAATAGTAAGTGATTTCAGTATCTTCACTCACCGTGTTAATTGCTTTATTTTCTGCTTTTATCCTAAGTAACTTGATTTGGGATTACATTTGTATTACATTAACGTGTAAAAATTATTATAAGGAGTTCACAAACATCTCAGCAGATACTTATTAAAAAAATCAATTGGCTATATCCCTGATGAACATAGATGTCAAAATCCTCAAGAAAATATTAGCAAAACGAATTCAGCAATACATTAAAAATAACGATCAAGTTGGGTTTATTCTACTAGAACTGATAAATGAATTCAGTAAAATAGTAGGATACAAAATAAATATCCAAAAATCAATTTATTTATTTTTATTATTATTTTAAAATATATTTTATTGATTTTAGAGAGGGAGAGGGAGATAGAAACATCAGTGATGAGAGAGAATCATTGATTGGCTGCCTCCTGCATGCCCCCTACTGGGTTTTGAGCCCGCATCCCAGGCATATGCCCTTGGCCGTAATCAAACCTGGGATACTTCAGTCCGCAGGCTGACACCCTATCCATTGAGCAAAACCAGCTAGGGCTCAGTTGCATTTTTTAAAAAAATATATTTTATTGATTTTTTTACAGAGAGGAAGAGGGAGGGATAGAGAGTTAGAAACATCGATGAGAAAGAATCATCAATCAGCTGCCTCTTGCACACCCCCCACTGGGGATACTCCCGCAACCAAGGTCATGCCCTTGACCGGAATCGAACCCGGGACCTTTCAGTCCGCAGACCGATGCTCTATCCATTGAGCCAAACCGGTTTTGGCTCAGTTGCATTTTTATATACCAGTAGTGAACTATCAGTTAGGGAAACTAAGGAAAAAGTCTCATTCACAGTTGCTTCAAAAAGAAATAAAATATCTAGGAGTAAGTTTAACCAAGGATGTAAAAGACCTGTACTTAGAAAATTTCAAGACACTGAAGAAAGAAATTGAAGAAAATGCAAACAAGTGAAAGTGTGCGTGTGTGTGTGTATGTATATATTCATACATATATATATATATATATATATATATATATATATATATATCCTGTTTCCCCGAAAGTAAGACAGTGTCTTACATTAATTTTTGCTCCCAAAGACGCGCTAGGTCTTATTTTCAGGGAATGTCTTATTTTTCCATGAAGAAGAATACAATACACATTTATTGTTAAAAGAAAATAAAGGAAATTTATTACCTGTATACGGTACGGTAGTACGGTAGTTGTCAACACAAACCAGACAAACTGTGAATCCTACAGTATTAAGAATTTACTCATTTATTCAATGACAATCATGTCATCATCTTCTGGAACATCATAACAATCCAATTCCTGAATTTCCTGGTGAATTTCTTGTGACCCCATTTCTTTCAGAATCAGTGGACCAAATCTCTCACGTTTAGCCTGGGGGGGGGCTTATTTTTTGGGGGATGCCTTATATTTCATTCAGAAGGAAACCTGTAAGTAGGTCTTATTTTCAGGGAAACACGGTATATTGACCTAATGGCAGAATGACTGGTTGACCAGGTGCTATGACATGCACTGACCACTAGGGGGAAGACACTGAACACAGGATCTGTCCCCGGGTAGTCAGTATGCTCCCACAGTGGTAGTGCCCCTTGGCTGATCAAGATGAGTGGCGCTCGCACAGCAGGCTGAAACCCATAGGCCATGCCCCTTACCAGTGCACGGATTCATATACTTCTATTATACCATGTTCATGGATAGGAAGAATTAACATCATTTAAATGTCCATACTACCCAAAGCAATCTAAAGATTCAGTGCAGTTTCTATCAACATACCAATAGTATATTTCATAGAACTAGAACAAATATTCCAAAAATCTACATGGAACCACAAAAGACCCTGAATAGTTTCAGCAATCTTGAGAAAGGACAAAATTGGAGATGTCAATTATACTAGAAGATCATATAAAAAGAACATAAATGAACACTATGTGTTTATCACCCAATTTCAGCATTTATCAATTCATGGCCATCTTCTACAACTTTCTCACTAGGCTTGATAATTTAAATTCTATATATATTATTTTACTGGGAGCATATTATAGGAAATTTTTTTCTGATTTTTCAGAAATTAAATTATAAGCAAACTTTAGAACCACAATTCTTTACAAGTTAACAAAGGACCTCTACCAGTGGTCTCCAGATAGAGTTCCTAAAAGTCAGGATTGGGGTTGAAGAGTTAATATTTTAAAATGCTAATACAAATCATTTATCATTGACATTGGACACATTTATCATGACTAATATGCATTTTTTAGACCACTCCTTCAAACCTGGGTCGGAGGGGGAGGTGGTTGGGGACTATGTAGAGTGACAAAAAGTCATTAGTGAAGAGATTTAGTTGTTACCTTATAAAGTATTTAGTGCAAAGGAGAAATTATTGCTTCATGTGGCTCTTCTTATCTCCCCTCCATTCCCCCAAATCAGGTTGAGAGCATCCTTCCCTGAGCTACTCCACAATCTTGGTCCCACTTTCCACTGAAATTTGTCCTTGCCTAAAAAGTGGGGGAACGGAATAGTGATAGTCCCTATCAGGTTTATGAAAAGTACATATGGCTTATCCAAGATGCTTTGAAAAAGTATATAGTGTGATCAAGTTCTTCCTTTTTCAATATTTATTTTGGTGACTCTTCCAGTCAAGCTGCAGTTTCAGCTCAGGCCACATCAGATGCCACTCCCGCCCAGCCTGCGCCTTCACAGCCTCTAAATTTGGCACGACTTCCTGGAGAAGAACCCCCACCAGCTGCTAACTTAGTGGCCCGAGAAAATCGACCCATGAATGAGAATGTTCAGATGAATGCCCAGGGAGGTCCGGTGCTAAACGAAGAAGATTTCAATCGAGACTGGCTAGACTGGATGTATACGTTCTCACGAGCCGCCATCCTGCTTAGCATTGTGTACTTCTATTCCTCTTTTAGTCGTTTTGTCATGGTCATGGGAGCCATGCTACTGGTTTATTTGTGAGTGATGTTCGTTTTCTTTCTGTGGTTTCTTTTAATGACTTTCTGAAACTGTTCAGTACAGAATCTGGCTTATGGTCATCTGTCGTGAATGTCAGATGAGGAATATGAATGTCGGGTTTTGTAGATCTGGCATCAGAAGCAGATCAAGTTATGTTGAGTGAGAACGTTTATCAGAATTGTCTAGAAGCAAATTTTTCCTTTATTGTCATTTATAAAAATTATTAATTTAGCTATTAACAATATTTAGAACTGGTGGAAGTATATGATTCATTCTTGTACAAGGATGTTCTTTTTAATTATAGTTACTAATAGTAAGTCCTTTAGGTACAGGTCAGATTTTTTTCTTCATAAATAGACTTTGCCTTACCATAGAGGCAAGCAAATTATCTAGTTGAATTCCATTTTATTTTAAAAAATATATATTTTATTGATTTTTTTATAGAGAGAAGGAGAGAGGAATAGTGAGCTAGAAACATCAATGAGAGACAATCATCAATCAGCTGCCTCCTGCACACTCCCCACCGGGGATGTGCCGGCAACCAATGTACATGCCCTCGACCGGAATCGAACCCTGGACCTTTCAGTCCGCAGGCTGACACACTATCCACTGAGCCAAACCGGTTTCGGGCTGAATTTCATTTTAAAAAATAACAAAAAGGTTTTATGACTCCTGACATATCTTAATATCTAGTATAGATATTCTCAGCCTAAAGTAGGCGATATGATCCTTTCATGTAATATAGTTCTAATCATTTTTCTCTTGTAAGACACTAATGTTTCATAGTTTTATAAATAAAAACAGCTGTGACTTATTTTTTTTTTCTTTGTTTTACCAAACAGACACCAAGCTGGATGGTTTCCTTTTAGGCAAGAAGGAGGTCAGCAGCAGGCTCCCAACAATAATGCTGAAGTTAATCATGGACAGAATGCAGACCACCTAGAACTTGAAGAAATGGTATGTTAATGAGGTTTGTATGCTTTCACTGTGGATGTGTCCTCAGCAATGTATGAGGCAACGTGAAAAAATAGTCTTGGGTGTTCCATAAGTATTGGAGGAATAGCACATGAAGAAAAGTTAACATATAAGCTGTGTGGTTTCATCTGGAAGAAGTTGGAAGAACTAATATTTTTTCTTCCTTAAAATAGCCTAGAAAGAAAATTATGCACACAGTGAGAATTTTGTATTAAATTGGCAGTTGTCCCTTTGAACTCAAACACCAAGGAATTTATCAATTTTGGATTTAACAAAGATTTCTAATGACCAGTTGAGTACCTTTTTCTGTCTCATGTTCCTTTCTCCAGTAGGGAAGAACTTAACTCTCTCCTTTTTTGGCATGCATGTTTGCTAGCTGCTTCCTCACTTAGGAGTACACTTCTTGTTTTGTTTGGAAGGAGCGTCTCATGGATGATGGGCTTGAAGATGAGCATGGAGAAGAGGCAGGCGAAGACGGTAGTGCACTCCACAGGCCTGGACTCATGGCGTCCGCGTGGGCTTTCATCACCAGCTTCTTCACTTCACTAATACCAGAGGGGCCTCCCCAGGTTGCCAATTAGATCTGAAAACTGCCAGCTGCAAAGGAAGGTCTGGCTTTAGGAACGTGACTTAAATAACAGTGCAATTTCAAAAAAATTTATTACTTCCTTTTCATCATCATGTACAGAGGTGTTTTTTCTTTAAGCTTCTCATGCATATGAATAGTTTAAGCACAAGTGAATTACTAAATGTGTGATTTAAAAAAAATTCTAACAGAACATAATATAACAACATTGGTCTTCCAGGTTCTATTAATTACAATTATGTGTATTAAATCAGACAGGCCTATATGTGCATCTTATTTCTTTAAAGAGCTGCTTCACATATAAGTGTTATAATAGCCCAGCCCCAATGTATAATTTGAAGAAATATTTGAGTTATCCTAAAAGTTTTAAACAGAATGACCTCATAGTTTTTAAAAAGATTATTATTTACCTAAAATACGCTAGTAGCTTCTTGCCCAGCCATAAAGCAATAAACTTCTCAATGATCTTAATTTTGACATTTGAATAAATAATGGAAACTTTTCTATTGTAAGGGTAAGTGTCCCATCAATTGGAATCAGTACCTTAAAAAAAGGCAGCTCTTCAATGGAATTAATAGTGATAAAAAATGTTTGATATAAGCAGTACTTTTATAAAATAAGATATGCCTGAAATCATTCCCTGTAATTTTTTAAAATAAAAGGTCAATTATGTTAAACTGTCTTAGGGGATATTTGTTTAAACTCTTCAATAATGTACACAGGAGGTGCAAAACTTGATATAAATGTAAGTAGTTGTTGGGAAGGGTTGCTGAAGTCTTCTTTTTCGCCTGTTCCATTCCAGATGGATATCTAGTTCTCAGGTGGTCCAAAACCTCAGTAGTTTTGGAAAAAAAACACACACAAAAACCCTGTGTGAGCCAATTCAGTATTTCAGATGAAAGGAGTAAGTTTCTTACAGGGAAGCTAATTAAAATTTGACAAATGAGGATAGGAGGACTTCCATGGGCAAACTTTCTCTCATAGGAAAAGTATTACACAGTTAATGGTAGAACAAAATGGAAGGTTAAGTACATCCATGAATTATTCTCTAGGTGGTTTACTCATAATGCTAATGGTGACATTTCAAGGGATAACTGGTTTACTTTTTGAAAAGTAAAATTAGATTTCTGTTCATAGATGTCAATCAAGACATCATGATTGAGTATGAGCAGCTGAACCATAAAAATACAAATAGGAAATATAGATGATATCTATATAATATTGGGGTGAGAAAATAACTTTATCCCTAAAAAAAAGGTTGCTATGTACATAATGATTTGACAGACATAATTAAAAGCCAAACAATTAGGAAAATAGATTAAAGAAAAGGTAAGAAAACATTTTTTTAAAGAGGATAGTAACCCAGTAAGAAATGGACAAGCATACTCTTAGTCAGTTTAGACTGGGTGACTTAAACAGCAAACATATATTTCTTTCTATAGGCCTGTGTATGAAATTTGTGCACTGGGTAGGAGGGGGGTCCCTCAGCCCGACCTGTGCTCTCTCCCAGTTGGACATCTTCAGGGGATGTAAGGCTTAGGCTGCAGGGAGCAAGCCTAAGCCTTCAGTTGGACATCCTTAGTGCTGTGGCAGAGGCTTCCATCACTGCCACCTGTGAGCCTGGCTTTTGGCTGAGCGGCACTCCCCCTGTGGGAACACACTGACCACCAGGGGGCAGCTCCTGCATTGAACGTCTGCCCTTGGTGGTCAGTGTACATCATAGCGACCAGTAGTTGTTCCACCATTTGGTCAATTTGCATATTAGCCTTTTATTCTATAGGATAGTATTCCTTGAAGCTGGGAAGTCCAAAATCAAGTGCGGACAGATTTGGTGTCTGGTAGAGGCTCTCTTCCTTGTTTGCACAGAAGTGAAGCAAGGTCTCTCCTGTCTCTTACAAGGGCACTATCCTATTCATGAGGGCTCCTCCTCCTGCCCCACTAACCTCCCAAAGACCTCACCACCTAATACTGTCACATTGGGGGTTAGATTTGGGGAGTGGGAGGGGGGGGTCACAAATATTAAGCACATAACAGCGTAGCAATAACCCTGAAAAAAAGTAATGTTTACGAGTTAAAACTATCACATTGTAATAGTGCTGGTGAAACTATAGGAGGTGTAAAATAATATAAAGCCCATCTAGGACATATCAGATTTTAAAACTGCACAGTCATTCAGTGTCATCCCATTGTTCCTAGAGTCAAGATCAGGCTTACACAGACCTGAGAGGCAGGGCCCTTGCCCCTTTCTGTCTGTGCTCCCCTTAACCCACCTGTTGGAGCGAGGCTGGTCTCCGGACCCCAGCACTCCTTCCAGTCCCAAGACTTCGCATTTTAGCTGTGCTTTTTGCTTGGATCTCCTTACACTCAGTCATTTATAAGTTCTCAGCTTGTGGCCAGTGCCTTAGGGAAGCAACCTCCTCTTCTCCCCCCAGCACTACTCTTTGCATTTAACATTGTTGCAGTTTAAGTTTATTTTCTTATTTGTCTCTTCCTGCAAGATAGCAGGGCTGTGAGGTTGGGGAGTGTGTTTATGCTCCTTGTATTTTCAGACTTAGAGGTAGTTCAAGATTGAATGAATGATTGAATGTACTCTTTGGATCAGCAAACGTTGGAAGGGGGAGAGATTTAGCTTTTAGGATATTCATTGTGTTGCTTGTAATAGGAAAACATTCAAACGGACTGATCCTCAGCATGATGAGCTCTGCACAAACATTTGTATCTGATTTGGATCCATGGTTAGGAATGGCTGGTGCAATCATCACATCCAGAGGAAGGGTCTGAATTTTAACCTGGGAGCTAAATGCTCTGTCAGAGCTAGAAGAAATACTGTGTAGGTCAGATCTAAAGCAGAGCAATGGGCAGAGTAAGAAGGCAAAGATAATCACCAGATTAGTCTTCTGGGAGTTGGAGGGGGGAATTGGTGCCCAGAATTCATTGTGGGGAGCAGGCCTTGGGGCACACCAGCTGGAGCAGCAGGTATCTGGTCGGAGCTGCAGGCTGGGGCCTCAGGAGAGGAAGCTGCTAGCCCTAGATGGTGCGGCTGATTCTAAGGACACCAATGTATTACTCAATTAAAAAAATTTTTTTTCCATTGATTTCAGAAGGGAGAGGAAGAGAGAGAAACCTCAATGATGAAAGAGAATCCTACTGGGGATTCAATCTGCAACCTGGGCATGCACCCTTGACCAGCATCCAACCTGGGACCCTTCAGTCCACAGGCTGATGCTCTATCTGTGGAGCCAAACTGGCTAGGGTGCATTACTCAGTTTTAAATTATTTTTCTATGCTGCTAATTCCCTCATATTAGTCTCACTTGTAATTTTTTATTTATTTATTTATTTTTTTGTCAAAAATAAAGGAGTCCCAGCCAGCATGGCTCAGTAGTTGAGTGTCAACCTATGAACCAGGAGGTCACAGTTCGATTCTCAGGGCACATGCCCGAGTTGCAAGCTCAATCCCCAGTAAGGATTATGCAGGAGGTAGCCAATTGATCCAATTGATGATTCCTCTCTGGAATCAATAAAAATAGATTTAAAAATAATTATAATAATTAAAGGAGTTGTGTCCAGATGGTCCAGAGGAGTGGGGGCAGCCTGGAGGGCGGTGGCGGCCTGGATGGATATGGTTTCCAGGTGGCAGAAGGTGCATCACAGAAGCCCAGACACGCCCTCTGGGCCAAACAGCAATTGGCAACACCGGGAGGGGTTCGTGGGCTGTAAACCCTTCCCAGGACTGCTCGCCTTACAATCACAGGAAAGACTGAGGCTTTCTACAGTCGTGCAGTACTGGTGAGAGCCAGACATGTTAGATGGGTGAAAGGAAAGGGGATCCCGAGGGCTGGAGAATGGAGCCAGCTCACCACAGTGCCGTGGCATGGCTCAGTGCCACCGCCCGTCATTATCCTAACAAATTCCTCTGGCTCTGACTCCCACATCCTGTGGAAATCCGGCTTTTCAAATTAGGGGGAAAGGCCTCGTTTGGAGTCTCATTTCTGCTGTCGCCTCACTGAAGACGAAGGTGTGCTGATTTACCAGTTTCTAAGTCTGGGCAGGTCAGACCCGGGGGCCTGTTGTATCTGAACTTGTTGCTTCTTTTGTGAAACTGCACCGAGCCCTGGAATGTGCTGTTCTCAAGTCCGAGAGTGCTGGGGGTCCGAGGGCTGGTGTGTGGGGTCTGCAGTGTGGGGTCTGCGGGTGTGGAACCTGGGACAGGAAGGCCGGGGGTAGAGCAATGCAGGAAAGTTGAACCCCAAGAGATGGAAAAGACTTCTCGTGGGAGTGCAGTTAGTACCTAGAGCAGACTGGGAGGTAAGAAGCATTGCCAGGGGACAGGGATCGTCTCCTGACGACAGAAGGGTTACTTTATTGGGAACATGCGTCACTGAGTGCTGAGCTGTTCATCATGCTCAGAGGCCGCCTGGGCTTGGCTTCTCTGGGTGATGGCCCGGGGGCTACCAGTCCCGAGGCACAGACTCAGTAGGTACCTGAAGACAGAATGTGTGCCCGGGCAGGTTTAGGGAAAGCACAAGATTCAAAAGGAAAGAAATGTAACCTTGGTACTGGCCGGTTTGCTTAGTTAGAGCGTCATCCCCATAAGCCAAGGTTTCAGGTTCCGATCCTGGTCAGGAAACAACCAATAAATGTGTACCTAAGTGGAGCAACAAATCAAAGCTCTCTCTAATCAATATAATTAAAAAATTAAAAATAATAATAGGCCGTACTCAGTAAATGCTTACTGGGCTAAGTGCTTTTCAGACTCAGTCCTCTCGACCGCCCTAGGCTGAGGGCTCTTCACAACGTTTCTGTCCTCAGATGGGAGACCAGCCGCCACCAGAGCTGGTACTCAGCACGAGTCAGGCGGTCCACGGCCAGAGCCACTGCTCCACACACCGAGCTTGGCTCCGGTTTCACAGCCTGTCCCACTGCCCAGGTAAACATTAGCATACCTCTCATGGCTCTGGGTTGTCATGGCAATACCTGTGCACAGGGTTAGAGA